TCCTTCGATTCGATCATGCGAGCCCATCGGGGCGAGTTATCTGTTGAAGTGATCACTGCCGAGGTACGTTTTGTTGATATTATTTTTGGTCATGGATGTGACAAAGTGACAGTGATATGAGAAAGCATTCAAACTGATGGAATTTGGGGCGAATTCTTTAAAATCACAAAAAAATACTGGCACTTTTCTGCTTTTTCCTCCACAAAATTTTCATGAAATTTACGGATTCGGAAAAATCTTTCGCCATTCTCACCTTACTTTATTAGGTCTTCTTTCTTTTTATACGCTCTTGGTAAGAACCGAAATCCTAAAATTGAAATAATAAGGATCTTTGAGTACAAAGCTTTGGATACTTATAAATTTATTTACAAGTATACTCAGTTTTTTACTTTTTTTGATGCTCCACTTTTCTGATCAGCAGCTGTTTCATTGTTGCATTCTCGCCATTGATGCAGCTGGCAACTTTTCCATTCTTCTCTGTTTTGCGCTTCTTTCATCCACCTAATTCTACGTAGCCTTTCTAGTTGAGCTTTTCATTGCATCAATTGTTTAGCACTCTTAAAGTTATGAGAACGTTAATTATCGCGTGCTTCCGTGTTTGAAACGTCATAAAATTCATAGTAAAATTAAGTTTGCGCTCGTTTTCAGCCTCTCAGTAAGAAACACGAAACAGCGCTACGAGATGCTCTGAAGAAGCTAGCGAAACCGGGACAAAATCTGCAAATTGAAATGACCGTGAAACCAAGCATCCTTGGTGGTATGATGGTCAGTATTGGTGATAAATTCATCGACATGAGCATCGGTACCCAATTCAAGAAGTTCGAGGAATTGCTGCGAAGCGCCGCGTGAATCCGAGTTCGAGCTTTGTTAGGGTCGAATTTTGTCTGTTGTAATATTAGCGATTTTATTGCTCATGATAAATTTTTGTGAAAACGTGCTGTTACAGTATATCTACCGTACCCGGCCCCCGTTTTACTGTAGCGCAGATCCATCCGAATCAAGGCTGAGGGCGACTTAGTGGTACTTCAAAGAGGACGTGTGTACGCTTAAGTGGTACAGGAAGGGAACTGAATATGCCAAAGTGAAGTACTGAGTATATACTTAAAGGTAGTTTTAAGCGGGGTTTGCTTAAAGGAGGTTTTTAGTGATACTTGAATAGAATATGGATGCGCCTTAGTGATACTTAAAGACCTTATCATTGCCGTTATTCGTAAAAATTGGAATTTTTACATTTTGCTTTTTTTTTCGATTTCCTAGTGGCCATCATTTATTATTTTTATAAAGCTTGAAGACATCCAGAAATGCTTCAGTTGGATGACAGCTGTCTTGCAACAGTGGCTGTTTGCCAACAGAAACCGGATTCGTTTCTTTAGGGGATTTTTAAGAAAAAAAAAGAGTGAAGGGAGGTTTAACATTTACTTAATTGACATATGCCAATACCAATTTACCATAAAAGGATTGGATTTCTTATTGACTGGTCTGGATTACCGATAATGTATTTGGATTTTTGATGTCCGTAACCCTTATCCAAAAGTAGATGATTTTAATAATTTTTAATAAATATCGTGCTTGTAATCAAAGAACCTAACGTAGCCGATCCCTTTATTTTGAGTGCATTTCAGTAACATCACTAGCATGGGATACCCACACATATTGGCGGAGCATTCCATGATTTTCTTGATGTTGTGTGCGAATGCTTGTTCAAGTAATCAACAATTTATTGATAAGAACACTACAGAATGCTTTTTATCAGTTTTATTCGGTCTCAGTGCAAAACTTGGGTAATTTTGGCATTTCCTGGAACATGTTCGTACTAAACGCTGATGGTGGTAGGTCAGTGACAAGTTTAATCGGAATATTTGATGAGGTCTCTCGTGTAGTCGTTGTCTCCTCGGGTAATCCGTCCGTTATTTCGGGAAATCCGTCCATCATCCTGGATATATTTTCATCCATTTTCTGTAAGATGTTGCGTAAGACACATTAGTCTCTTACAAAGGATGAGTATGAAAGGGGTTTTGACGTGCATTTATATGTTATTTAAAAAAAGCACTAAACTAACCTATAGAAACAAAAATTAAATATTAAATTTTCCTCGGTACATTGAAAAATTTCTTCGGTAAAATAGCACCAATCCATTTTATTTTTAAAATGTATGGGTCATGAAGCGATGGGCTGTTCATGTGGCACGGATGACAGACAACAGATGAACGAAGCGGATAATGGAATGGTACCCACGCACGTTCAACCGAACACTGGGGAAGCCACTAGCGAGGTGGAGTGGCCCAGTGGTACACCTGTACGGTATTACGTGGTACCGTACAGGTGTGCCAACTAAAACTCGTTCGAGGAGAAAT